GCCAATAAATTTCCTTTTAAATTTAAGCTGGTCCAAGTTGGAGTCTATCACATTGCTATTTGAAGGTACAAGGATCCAATGGCATCTGGAAGGGCCGAATCTAATGAGGTGATATCGGTGAGGATAAAAGGGACGACATCCTTGTCTGGGGACCACGATTCTAACTGCACGTGCACTGGAAGGGGATTTGAAGCCACGGTGAGATATGACTGTGGGGGGAGTGGGGACAGACAGGAGGGGTGGAGAGCTGCCTGGACACATCTAATGTGTATAGAGCACCGTACATGGTTTCAGGTGCACTGATCTCCTTGGTCCTCAGAGCGACTGGGCCAGCTGCCTTCAGCCCCAGCAGCCTCTTCCACTTAACTGCATCATGATGTGCAATTGTTACCACCCCTCTGTATGCTGTGATGTGCAAAAGGTGGAAAGCAGGGCCCTATAGTGCCATTCCCAACATGGAGGTCACTCAGGTCAGTCACTTAGGGATCAGAACAGCAACGGCTTAAGGGTTAAAGGCCATAAGCTGCAAAGCATGGGATTGTGCCAGGAAAAATCCCAAACACATCCACCTTGCCTGTGACTATGGCTGCAGGCAGAGCTGGGGAGCAGGACCCCGGGAAACCCTGCAGGGGAAGCAGGTATGGTTATGAAATTGCAGCAGGTCAGTGAATGACTGCCCCATCCTCCTCACAAAGCTGCAATTCTCTTCCAGTGGCAACATGCTTAGCCTCAGAGGAGGAATCAAGATTGGCCAAAGCCACCTATGTTGACTCCATTATCGTTGCCAGTGACAGGATAGTGGTGACCATGGGCCCTGGTCCTAGCTGGTGGCTATGAGGGAAGTCTGCTGAGAGATGCTGGGAGTCTCCCCCGACTCAAATGAAAGAGAAAGCCTCTCAAGATGACTCTTTTCCCTGACTCTTTCCCTTCTACCTTGGCTACTCTTGTGTGAAGACTCATGCTTGGAGCTGCAGCAGCCATTTTGTGACCAGGAGGAAAGACCAAGAGGATAACAGACAGAACTGGCCCCCATTTGTGGTCAAGACACTGAACAAACCCAGGATCTTCTGCCTGACCTCCAGGCTTTCCTGGTTATGCAAGATAATTCAATGATGGTATTGTTTAAGTGACCACACTCAGGTATTCCATTACTCTCCATCAAAAGCACACTTACTGACCAACACTCCTCTATGTTATCTTCTTTGTTCATCACTACCTGAGTAGTAGTGACCATCATAGTAAGAAGAGGAAGTTGATGCTCAGGAAGTTGAAGAGGTTAGATGACAGAGCTAGTAAATAGTGGGACCGAAACCCCATGCATCATCTACCCCTCTCTGCCCACTGGTGTAAATATATTCAATTCACAGATTCCCCAGGTCAGGAGCCATACTGCACATGTTCAAAGCCAAGGTGTAAAATCCAATGCAACAATTCCACAATGTGTTTATGAAGGAACACCCGACAGCTGTCTCCTTCTAATCATGCTGCTCTGATTATTAAGCTCTCCCAAACTGTCACAAAACAAAACAAAACAAAACAAACAAAAAAAACAAGATAAAGGAAAGAGTGGAGAGAGGAAGTGAGCATGCCAGGAAGAATTGGAAAGAAACTTTTTGGTTTGGGAGCCAGGAAATGTCAAGGAAACAAATGTGGCCATGATCTACACCCTATCTCCAGTTCTGCCATGGGACTCAAAACTTGGCCTCTTTATTGAATTGCACGCCTCAGAGTAGTCCTGACAAGTGACAGATGGCCAGAGAGGCTAAAAAAGCTATGTTTGATTCTGAGTTTTACAAGTAACAACCAATATATACAGTTGATGGTAGGGAAGGAAAGTGCTTGAATATTACCCTTAGTCTCAGGGTATTTCTTGTTTTCAAACTGACTGGTCTAGACAATGGAAGATAAATCGCCAACAATAAATCCTTTGTAAGCTGGAAATGGTCTCTTCTGAATACATCTGAATATTTCTTTAATCCTTGCATTAAACTTTTTACTGTAGTATAAAAGCTAGACACTCTAAAATTTAAGCCTTTGTAATACTGGAGCTATAAGTATAACTCCTGGGGGGTTGACTACTTAGCACTTCAAAAGCACAATATCAGATGCTTATTTGGACTTATATTTTGGGGTCATACCAAAGATACTATCGTTAATGACTCTTGCTCAGAAATCTTGTGTTTATGTTCTGAAAACCATTTCTTTTATTTCATACCATGGGAAGGGTCTTTAATGATGACAAATTAACATGCATATTCTTTTATTGTAGCTTCTGAATCTACATTATCAGGCACGCCATCCCAAATAAGTTTTTCACAGTTCTGTTCCCAAGGGAACAAAGACAGTGGGTCCTATATTAACAGTGGCTTTTGTTGGCTTTTTTTTTTCCTGACATTACAGTTGTGTGTGGTTGGCAAGGATTTCTCTCTTTTAATTTGGATGTGGTTTCTGCCTCTGAAACTCTGAAAATAAGCTTGTTGGTCAGAGGGCAAGCTGCAGGCACCCTCACATACACGACCACTTCAGCACGGGCTTAAAACAGGCTTCACTGAGAACAAATCGGAACTGCAAAGCATGTTCAAGTACAAATGTTCTTTCCTTAAGATATTTTCAGTTCAATGTTCATTTGTCTTTCATGTCTGATGGATTAATAAAGTATCTTCACATCTATTTAAAGCCGATGGTCAGCTCCCCGTTATGTGTCTCCCTCAGCCCCTCCATCTCAGCAGGGACACTCAGGGTCACCACCCAGGTTGTGTTCCTTTCCCATCCAGAGACATTCGTGATAAGAATGGCTCGTAGCAGGAACAGCCTGGCTCTGGGAGAGAGATGCCTTCTCACAGGGGACACCCCAACAGCCAGAAGCTCAACCCCAAGTGCATTCACACTGTGACATCTCTGACGCTCCACTGGAAGGGGAAACCGGCAGCTAGTTCTCCCAGCATATGCCACTCAGATGCCGAGTTTAATTAATGAGTAGTAGGGTGTGTTGAGATGTGTGCTGTGCTAACACCAGCCTGCTAAATGGTAAAGCAAATTTCAAGTGGAAATCCCAGGATTCAGAATGTTCCCTTTGCCTTTCTAATGAAGAGGGAAGGCAGTGAGGGAGACAGGGAGGGAAAGGAGAGAGAGAGAGAGAGAGAGAGAGAGAGAGAGAGAGAGGGAGGTGGGGTGGGGGAGCTCTGCCACTAAGTCATTGTTGAAGCACCACAGAGGAGGCCACTGCAGTCTCTCCCAGCTGATCCTCGCAGTTCAGCATTTGAGGATCCATACTTCTCGGAAGCGGCTGCTTTCCCAGAATCCTCTTCCCTATAAGAATGGACACAATTTGCAAGTTCCTTGTAAAAGCTTCTCCCAGGTTTTCTGATTTACTCAATCTGGACTTGCGGTTTATTTTTACTAAGAGGGGCCTCCTATTCGAAAGAACAACTACAGTTCTAGCACTAACGGGCAGAAATTTTCCTGTCCCTCCATAAATCAGTTCAACACCCTGGTCTCTAGGGATTTGCCAAAAGATAATGAGCTGCAATTATGAAACCATCACCATGAGGGCTCCGGAAAGATTTCTGAAGTTTGCAGGCACTTCAGGGAGAAAATAGGAAATCATTTCATGAAGCAGCAATTTTGCCCAAAACCAAGCAAGAAGAGGTGTAATGCTGGCTTAGAAAGTGTCTGAGGATGAAGAGAGAAAGTGAGCATGCCAGGAAGAGTTGGAAAGAAACTAAGTGACTAAGAAGTAGGTATGGTGAACTAGGAGGTGTGGTGCAGTCTTCTCCCATCTCCCTAAAGATTCCAAATTAACTCAAAGATGGCTAGACCGCTCCCGACATTACTAAAAATCACAGCTCTGCGCTTCCCAGGATTGGTGGTAACAGACCCACCCTAAAACACGTGCTTTTCATACTACAACTGAAGATGCCCCCACTGGACAGGTGCTTGGGATCCTGGGAAGCTGCCTTTCCAGAGAGAAAGAGGATGGCTCCAGCAAGGGAAGTTCTGGCCAGTCCAGCCTCTCTCAGTTTTATTGGGAGGGGCGCTGCTGCCCAAAAGGTGGAGATTTTGATGAATTTGATCGGTGAGGGCTTTGCGGTCCCAAATGTGGCTCCTGCTTTGAAGACACACAGCGGCAACCTTAATAGAAGTGTCACAGAGTCTCGTATGCTTCCAAGAAGCTCAAGAAAACTCAGGATGAGTCTGCATTGCACAGGTGGCATCGCCCAGGTGGCATCGCCCAGGTGGCACCGCCTGAAACCAGAAGCCAGAAAAAAACCCTACTGTCTTTTCTTCCTCTCACTCTACCAGCCTGATGCGGGCATCCCAGGTCTCGGTGGCACGGAGTGCGCTCTCAGCCGCAGCAGTCCCAGAGCACAGCATCTCCAGGATGGAGCTACTAGGAAACAAACTTTACTGGGGACAGAGGGTGGGCAGGCTGGGCTGACCATATCTCTCCAAGGCCTGGGGCCTTGGGTCTGTCTGAGGCTTCCTTCCACCGTGGCCACCGGTCTACTGGGGGACCCACGCCTCTCCAGGTACCGCGGCTGCTACCGGTGTCGAGTCACGCACCAGATACTTCCCTCACTAGCCTCGCCATTATCCGACACAGATGAGGAGCCGGACGCCGACCGCAGGGGAAAGTGATCGGTCCGAGCGCACACACCCCTGCGAGACTCGCCCCCAGGTCTGTTATTTCAAAGTCTTTCCTCTCCCTCCCTCTGATCGTCCTCGAAACGGCCCCCGAAGCTCTCTTTTCCCACGGCCGCTTACTCTGGAACACGACCCTGAGGCTGGAGCGCGGACAGTAGGACCCCCCTCGGGGCTGGCACCCCCCCACACCCCCCCACACCCCAGTCTCCGCCCCTCGCACAGGCCGCCCGGGTGGACTCGCGCGACCGGTCCTTGGGGAGACGGCCACACTGCTCGGGACTCCCAGCGCGAAGACACGCAAGCCAGACACACTCTCTTCCCGTGGGACCCCTCCCACCCCGCGCCCCGCGCCTCACCTCGCGCAGCAGACGCTCCAGGTGCGGCTCGGCCCAGGCGGCCAGGGAGCCTGGCGGCCCCGCGCGCCGCAGCAGCTCCCGCTCCTCCTCGAGCGCCTCCACGCGGCCCTGCAGCGCGGCCGCCTGGGCGCCCAGCAGCAGACAGGCGGCCGCCGAGCCCACGGAGAGCAGCAGGCACAGCGCGCTCACCGCCCAGGTCCCGGCCGCCGTCGCGGGGCGCCCCCCGCCACCACCGCCGCTGCCTGCCGGGCCGCCCGTCCGCGCGTCCCCGACGTTGCGCTCGCCCCGGCTCATGGCGCGCTCTTCGCGCTTGGGCTGTCCGAGGAAGAGGTGCAGAGCTGGGGTCGTAGGCTGAGAGCGCGTGGAACAGGCTGAGAGCCCGAGGCACGAGGTCGGCCGGGTGCAAGGCTTGGCCTCCGGGCAGCAGCGGATCGTGGCGCACGCCCCCTTCCCCGCCGCCAGCTCCTTCACCACGGCCACTTTGGGCAGTTTCCTCTATGCAAATAGACCCTGCCAGAAAAGGAGCCGGGACCCACCCAGGGGAGGAGCGGCCCGGCCAGCCCGGCGCAGCAAGGGGGCGGGGGTGGGAAGGGAGCTGGCTCCTGGAACCCCCCGCGCGCCTGGCGGACCCAGTGCAGCGCGCACCTCTGCCCTCAGCTGCCCCAGGCACTGGGCTGCACCCCTTGCGACTGAGAGTCGCACCTCTGCGACTCCCAGTCCGTGTTCCCACTGAGATCCCAAGAGGTCTAAGGGGGGGGCCAAGAGACTCAGAGCACCTTCTGCAGCCCACCCCTGACTGGAGCGTCATTCACACCCGGCAAAAATTCCCCTAAACTTGTGAATTAACCTTTCTGACAATTTTTTAAAAGGTCAAAACTTCAAACCCTGTGGAAAACTTGAGTCCGTCCTAGATGGTGCTTTAGCGCCTCTTGGTGGCCGAAAGTGACCTCTGCACACTCACATTTAGAAGCTGTCAGGGTAGATTGCGCCAAGCAGAAAGATGCCTCTTAGACTCTAAATTCTCTCCATTTATTATGTGCCAGACACATGCTGCTGGGAAACAGACATTGTAAGACCTTGTTCATGACCTAGGGAGGGCGTTCATTTCAGAAAATTGAGAGAATAACAAAGGGAAAAGATGGGGGAAAACAACTCCAACTTTTGTTGAGCTGACTTAATTCTGCAGTAGAAACACTTGGTTAAAAACAATAATCCACTATGCATATTTAATCTATACTGTGATTTTGCTGCAAATTTATATCACAGGGTTAAGGTAAGAAAGGCTGAATGAGAAGGAAGTGGCCCTAACAAGTGTTTTCAAGAAAGGGGAGGGGCTGGTCGAGTGGCACGATGGTTAAGAACTGGCTTGGGACCCCAGAGGGCCCCGGTTCGGATCCCACATATGAGGGCCAGTGACACTGCCCTCCACAGCTAAGATGCTGAACAACAGCTCAACCTGGAGCTGGGCTGCTGTGAGTCGCCGGCGATGGCGTAGGCTGCAGCCCCTGTGGCAGTGGGTTGCCATGGGCTACCGTGTGTAGCCAGCAGCCAGCGTGAGCGGCCAGCAGCCGCCGTGAGCAGCTGTCCAGAAGCCGGCGACTGATCTGCCTCACCCGGGAAGAGCGCAATGATGGTGCCAACTTGGGCCAGTGAAGCAACGCCCTCCACAACTAGACTGAAGAACAAAACAACAGCAACTTGTCTGTTCCCCTTCCCCCAATTCCCCAGCACTGTTCCCATCCCAATTCCCCAATAAAAATCTTTAAAAGTAAAAAAAAAAGAAAGAAAGAAAGAAAGGGGAGAAAGTCTGGAAGTCAGGTCTCTGCTTTCTCAGATTCCTATCAGCCATATTTATTACCTAAAATGGGTCCCAAGTGACCCTTCCCCTTACTCCTCTAATACTCAAATAAAAACGATAAACTGCTATTTTAGATCTTTGTAATTGGGGCAACTCCACAACTGTTTTTGAGAAAAAAACCTGTTATATCTAACTTCCTACTCATTCTCTAGGTATTTTTAGATTATTAATTTCTGTGGATAGATTATTACTCATCTCTTAAAACTGTTGAAGCCCTCCAGCTGACATTCCTTGTTAAGCCCTTAACTGGGGGGAAAAAATACCTCTGAGATCAGAATAGATCACAACATGGTTTGGCATCTCACCTATGCAACTTTGTAGCTGTGACCTTAGTAAATTGGGGTTACATTTAGGTGGTTATACAGAGATAGGTCTTGGCGCTGTGCCATAGTCTAGTGTATATTTTTTCAGAATATTATTGCTAAGCAAACTGGATTGTCTATTCTGAAAAAAGGACACCACCACATTACAAGCTAGCACATCATTCTTATTACAAATACATAGGTGAATTGCGCACCATCTATCTTTGTTACGGCACCATGTTTACTATGTTTCAGAAGCTTCTACATATTGAATAAGCCAAGCTCATTGGCCTTTGCTCTTGCCCACTACGTCACTATTTGGAATATCCTCTTTTCAGATCTTTAAACAGCAAGCTTCTCCTTATCCTTCAGTTCAAAGTCCTGAGGTCCTCAAATCTCACCGCCTCTGAAAGACCTTCCCAGGCTGCCCAACCTAACATGGCTATACCTGAGTCTCTTTCAGGATTACTCAGGGGATCGGGGCATTTATCACTATTTGAAGTTACCTTTTTATTAAGCATATCTCCTTTGTTTTGTTCACCACTGTTTTCTCAGAGAACAGGACAGGGTCTGGCACACTGTTGGTGCTCAATACAGAGGGTGCCAAATAAATGTATACACATTTTAAGAAGGGAAAAACCTGTATTAAAATTGTAATACTCAATATATACCGATAACAAAAAATGAAGTCAAGTCACATTTGACTTATTACAAGAGGTACTCAAAAGTGGTTACCACCAGTGTAATTTTAAGACAGTTTTTTCCATTTTTAAAATGTGTATACATTTTTTTGGGCACCCTCCGTATTTGTCAAGTGAACTGAGGAAAGGTGAAAATACCATGTTTCCCTGAAAATAAGACGTAACTGGAAAATAAGTCCTAGCATGATTTTTCAGGATGCTCATAATATTAGCCCTACCCAAACATAAACCCCAGTTAAGATCATCAGCCAGACATGACTGAATAAATGTAGATTTTTGTACATGAATAAATGAATAAATGTAGATTGTTGGAGCAAAAATTAATATCAGACCTGGTCTTATTTTCAGGAAAATACTGTATGTTTACTATCTACAACTCATTTTAAAAGACAAGGAAGAAAATGCTGTCTTGTGTCAACTGGGGTCCTGGAAGGAACAGAGGGCATCCTCAGACTGAAAACAGTGTGAATATAGAGACTCTTTACAAAGGGGCAGGCTAAGGGAAATCAATAGGGGGTGCTAAGGAAGCAGTCCATTACCACCCCTATCTGAATAGGTGAGGGGAGGGAAGTGTTGTGAGAACCCTGTTTCTTCTTGGAGCTATATAAAAAGGTCTGCTCGGGTCCGGCCGAGTGGCGCGATGGTTAAGAACTCGCTTGGGATGCCAGAGGGCCCCGGTTCGGATCCCACATATGAGGGCCAGTGAAACTGTCCTCCACAGCTAAGATGCTGAACAACAGCTCCACCTGGAGCTGGGCTGCCGTGAGTCGCCGGCGACGGCGACGGCG